TGAGTTTTGGTTATGATATATATGTATTTATATATTTACTAAGTATTTAAATGTTTACTATGTGGCTAATTGTGAAGCAAATAAGATATCTGTTCTAAAAATAAGGCAACTAACTTGCCTAAGGTCTTTTTTTGTTTGTTTTTAAAGATTTATTTTTTATGCACAGAAGAACTGGGGTGTAGACCAGAGGTGCAGTGGGTGTGAGGAGTCACCAGAGACAGAGTGGTAGTCTGTCTCTGGTGCTGTTTTACTGAAATACACTGCTAGAGGATCAGCAGGCAAGACAGGAGAGGTCTGCTGTGTGGGGTTGGGGGTGGTGGGAGTCTTAAGTCAGGAAACAACCTGGTCAATCTGGTCCAAATTCTTTTTTTTTTTAAGAGATTTATTTATGCATTCAAGAACTGGGGTGTAAGCCAGAGGAGGAGGTGGTGGTGAGAGGATTCACCAGAGAGAATGGGGAGCAGAACAGGCAGATCTACTGAATACACTGCTGAGGGCAGCAGCAGGCAAGACAGGAGAGGACTGCTGTGCCATGTGGGTAGCTCCCTGGCCGGGGATTGAACTTGTGCTGCAGTGGCTGCTGATAGCTTGACAGCGCGGTCTTTAATCACTGCGCCACAAGGGAAGCCCTGACCTGGTCCAAGTTCTAAAAGTCCTTCATCTGCCAATTACAGAGTTAGGAAGTAGCTGACCTAGCTTACCCCTGTTGTATATGTGGATAAAACAGATGCCATGTTGGGTCACTATCATCCCTGGCTTCTAGTTTGGACTATGGATATCTCAAGAGAATTTTCTAAATTAATTATCTCCAATTCCTCCCCCTTTTGTTCTCTTCTGTACCCCAATCTAGCCAGACTATTGTTTATCTTACCACAACACTGAAACAGCTCTTGCTAGATGTCAGTGGTTTCCACACTGTTACAATAAAGTCAATTCTCAGACTAAATTATCATCAGCATTTAACCCAGATGATCACTATCTTCTCTTAAAACACTTTCTCCACTTGACTTGAAAAAGACCATCTTTTCTTGGTTTGCCTCCTACTTTACTAGTTGTTCTCTCTCCATCTCCTTTGCTGATCTTTCTTGTTACCCTGATTATTAAAGTTTAGAATCTCCATGGCTGAGTTCCCAGACCTCTCTTTTCTTTTTTTTTTTTTTTTTTTTTGCTTTCATTTCCCTGGTGAATTTATCCAGTTTCATGGTTTCAAATAACCTCTAAGTGTCAGAGACACCCTGTAGCAGCGGGAAGGGATGGGGCAGTTTCTCCCGAGCAGACCGGTAAGGAGAGGCTGGAACCCTCAGTGGCTTTTCCAGGCTTTTATTGAGTTTATGAGGTTCACAGCAGGCAGGGGTGCTGGGGGGGGCCTCCCAGCCCCGGGCAAATCTTCACTCTTTCGGCTCTCTGGTGTTCTCTCGTGGTTTTGTTCTCTTCCTTCTCCTTCTGGTCGTTCTGTTCTACTGTGACACTGCCCTTATAAGCCCCAGTCTCAGCCCAGGTGAACCCACCTAACCATGCCCACACCCTATTCCAGGTGCCTGCCATCAGGCATGCAGTCAGGACCACAGGGATCCATCATCAATCCTAATGGCGGGAGGGCAGAAAAGTCTGACAGTTATTTACCCTACACACCCAAATTTATATGTACAACCCAAACCTTCTTCCTTTTAACTACAGACATGTATAACAAGTGCTATGTGCCAGCTCCATTGGAAGGTTTAGTGGACACTTCAAATTTAGCATGACCAATACCAATCCCTGATTTTATTCCAACCAATCCTGCTTCTATCCTGGGTTTCTCAATCTCAGTAAGTGGCAACTGCAATTAGATAATTATTTATTCAGTTACTGAGGCCAAAAGCTTTGGAATAATGCTTAACTACTTTTTTCAACTCCCTTTCAAACCATCAGTAAAATCCTATCAATTCTATGTTCAAATTAAGTCCAGAATCTGACCACTTTGTACCATCTTGTCCATTCTACATTCTAAACCACAATTATCCCTCTAAGTAACTAATGACTTAAATACAGATGATCCTTCACAGAAGAAAGTGATCATTTTGAAAATTTAAGTCGAAGCAAGAACCTCTTCTGGTCAAATGCCCCTCCCCCATCCATCCCCAACATATAATAAAGTCCTTACAATAGCTTATAAAACCATTCATGATTGTCCCAGACCCCCATGACTGATCTCATTTCCTGTTACTATGCTCCTTGCTAAACCTGCTCCAACCACACTGGCTGCCTTGTTATTCCTCAAAAAACAAAGCAAGTCCTGCATAAGGTCTTTGCACCTTGCCTTTCTTTCATGCTCTTCCCCCCATGAATCCACATGGCTCATTCCCTTTGTAGAGGCAGGAAGGGAGCAGTGCAGGATCTCTATGACTTGAGCAGACGGGTAAAGGAGACTCCTGGAGCCCTCGGTGGCTTTTTCAGGTTTTTATTGCCATTTTACCAGGTATATGGCAGGCAAGGGCCAGGGGGCTGCAGGCCCCCAGTGAATTCTTTACTCTCTCTGGGCTCTCTGGCATTCTCTCGTGGTCTCATTCTGTCTCTTCTGCTTCTCTTTCATTCTGCTCTCTTCCTCGTTCTTCTTCATGGTGCCTTTATAAGCCCAGTCTCAGCCCACATATACCCACCTAAGTATGCCCACACCCACTCCAGGTGTCGGCCATCAGGCATGCACATAGGACCGAAGGGATCCATCATCAACGCTAATGGTGGGAGGGCAGAAAAGCCTGATAAACACTTACCCTACACCTTCCTTTAGAAATCTTCTCTGACCATCTGACTACCAATTGGATGGTTTAGTGTTTCCCCTTACTAAATGTGAGTTTCATGAGGCAAGGGGGTTCATTTTATATACCAGGTAAAGCCTAGTGCTTAAAATTCAGTAGGCACCAAGCAAAACTCTGTTGAGGGACCAGTAACAAGACTGGTGAGTGCATAGTTAGGTCACGCTCTTGACTAATCTATCTACTTTATCCTGGTCCCTCAAACTTGGCTAGTTACTGTAAGAGTGATTGGCTCTGGCTTGAAGATAAATTATGCATTAAGGACTTAGGACTGCACTTGTCTCTACCCAATTTCTGGTTCCCTGAAAATCTAAGAAAATTTATATTCAATGTAAAGTAAGGAACTTACTCCACTCAGTTTCTCTGTCTAAAAAGAAAAAAATTTCCTCGGCACTCTTTCCAATTTCAAGAGGGCTGGGTAGAGAAACACATTAAACAATTTATTGGATCCTTGTTATCAAACTTTACCTCCACATAGAATCTTTTTGATGATCTATGCTGCATTTTGGGGGGTCATTTTTACCCATAGAGTTAAATGCTGTTTGTTCACACTGCCTAACTCTGCAAATTAAATTGCACGCAAATTAAATTTTTGTATAAACAAAATTTCTATGAGAGTTGACATACAAAACTAGATTACATAATCTAAATTTTCGACTACTGCTATTAAGTTTCTGTATTCTCTTAAAGGGGCTCAATTTTCCATAAATAACAGGAAAGCATCTTTAAATCTTTGCATAGGTTTTTTTTTTATAAGACGCTTTCTAGCTACAAAATTTAATCAATCAAGTTCTAAAAATGTTTCTTAATATTAAAGGTATTCTTAAAAGTTACTCTGTAAAATTATAAATTCAGTTATTTTTGCACATATTAATCATTTACTTTGGAAATGAGGTGTATCTTGTTCTTTATGACCAGGAAGTAACACCAGGTGAAAATAACGAATGTAGACAGTTATTACATAATTGTTTGGATATAAGAACCTGAACTGTGAAACGCTTATACTCTAAAATGCTTATGAAAATGAAATTCAATTATATTTAATTCAAAATTAATTTCATTTAGTGTTTCCTGCAATAGTTCACAGAAATTTAAGAAAACCTCTCGGGAAAATGTATACTTTTTTTTTTTAATTAACATTCTTTGTCCTCCACCATAGTGGAAAATGTACATTTCTGATCCAGTCGTGTACAGTGTCCTTAATGGTAACTGTTGGTAAATTTCATTTTTTAAAACCCCATAACTATTCAAAGCACTTTACGAAGGCCTTAATCGGATCATGCAAAATTCTAAGTCTTTCACCCCATAATTTCTTAAAAAAGTGAAATGTCATCTCCTTGGCAGTAGAGTTCGAATACAGGCGCTATTTACCCTCTCACTACTCCCAAGACAGAAGACCAACAAACAGATTTTACAGGTCACACTCTCAAGCTTAAAAAAGGACAGGACACAGTTGGGGGGGTGGAGGAGCGGGGAGACAATGATCCTGTGCTACTGATTCGGCTTCTCTTTCTGCAGCATCCCAAGTACCTCTCCTGTCCAGAAAACTTTCACAGTTACAGGGCCAACATCACAGAAGCTTCAAGTCTCCCCAGATTTCTAAAGTGCGACACGAACCCCGACCGAACAGGCTAAAAAGATTTCGAAATACAGTGCAATATAAAAACTCCTGAAACACAGACGCCGACCAAAATACAATCCCATCCTCCAGAAAAGGAAGAGGAGAGGAGGCAGCTAAAATAAGACTGAGCATAAACGGAAAGGCGAAAATTTAGGATGAGCCTCGACTGCTCTTCCCAGCACTCAGGGGAGCAGGAAACAAAGGGATACGATGTAAAAAGGTCTACCCTACTCCTCTTCCCTTCTCTCCAGCATAGCTGAGTGGCAGGATCTCCCCAGATGGCAGCGGAGAGAATGAAGGTATCACCCCCCGCCCCCCGGGCTGGTGACGCCGTCCAACAAGTCAGCGGGGCCGGATCCTGACAAGACAAGGGGGGCAGGAAGGCGGACAACTCCTTCTGCGGCTGCGGTGACGCGGGGACCCTGAAGAGCCGGGTCGAGGGGGGCAGCCAGGACCCAGGATGACTAAGCCCCGGCTTCCTCGATGGCAACCGTGGCAAAGCTCGCGCCCCCACCCCCCACCCCCACTTTCTGCCCCGAGGTGCCGAGAGAAGCGTGGTCCCGGGCAGCCCGCGCCCCGCTTACCTGCTGCACCCCGAGGAACTGGTAGAAGTTGAGCTGCACCTCCTCCACCAAGTCAAACAACTCCAAGTCTCCGCTCTCCCAACCGCGCGCCGGCGCCGCCAGCAGCAGCAGCAGCAGCGGGAACGGCACCAACCCAGGCCGGCGGCGCGGAGGAAGCCGGGCCGGGCGCGAGCGAGGCGCCGTCATCGCGCCGGGCTCCGAAAGGTCACCCGCCGCGCAGCGCCGTCAGCCGAGGCCGGAGACGTGGCGGGGAGCGCGGCTGTGGAAACCGCCTGGCGGTCAGAGGCTCCTCATGCAGCCGAGCCGCGGTCGTGCGGCGGCCGCCGGCCCCACCGAGAGGGCAGGGCGGCGGGGGCGCGCCGACACGGGGGCGCGCGGGCGGGCGGAGGCCGCCGGGGGTACCTTCCTCTGACCCTCACCCCCGGGCCGACAGACAGCTGGAAAGGCGGCGCCGGTCGCTGAGGTTGCAGAGGGGGAGAGGCTTCCCTTGGCCTCAGCCTATCCTAGGCCTCGCTTCCGGTGACATCACATCTCCTAGCAACCGCGGAAGAGGGGCGGGGCCGGAAGTAGGGAAGGCGGCGCCCCCAGATCTGGGCCTCGGAGAAACGCTCGTTAGTCGCTGTCGGGGGAAGGAGCAGCACATGTGTTTACACAGTTTGCGCCATGGGAAGTTACAGGTGTTAAACTTTTACCTAGGACAATGTAGATTTTCACCTGAAGGCTACTTTCTTCCCCTTGAAAATGAAAAGCATATTTGAAGGTTGATTTATTGATTGTGATCTTTGTTTCATGTGTTTCATTAGTCCATTAGCCAACTGTGGGGAAAGGAAAAAGTATCAGGCTTTTCTGCCCTCCCGCCATTAGGATAGATGATGAAACCCTGTGGTCCTGAATGCATGCCTGATGGCGGGCACCTGGAATAGGGTGTGGGCATAGGTAGATGGGATTCACCTGGGCTGAGACTGGGCTTTTAAGGGCGGTGACAAGGGGGAGCCAGCAGAAGCCAAGAGAAGCGGAGAGAACACCGGAGAGCCCAGATAGAGTGAGGGTTTGTTGGGGGCTGGCCTCCCGGCTCCCCAGCACCCCTGCCTGCCATATGCCTGGTAAATCTAAATAAAAGCCTGCAAAAGCCACTGAGGACTCTGACTCCTCCTTTACCCTGTCTGCTGGATCAGAAAACCTGCACTGTGCCCACTCCCGCCCCTACACCAACATATAGGAGCAATTGAATCCAGGACTTGGAAAGGGCAAATCTACTTAACAGTCTAGAGTAACCTTTGAGAGAGGTGAAGCAAAGAATTTGAACCAAAACAAAGGTTACACGTCTAATTATAAATTAAGATTTACAAGCATAATGTCATAAAACAGGCAGCCTGTTTTTATTAGAATTAATAATAGTAACTCAATCATAGTCTTAGAAGAAATGTAGTTCTTCCACTTTATCCCATTTCCAATTGGGCTTTCCTTTCGATTTATTTACTTATGCATACAAGAACTGGCGTACAGGCCAGAGGTGTGGGGGGTGAGATGATTCACCAGAGACAGAGTAGGGAACAGAACAGGCGGATTGACCGAAGTACAGTGCTGAGGGGAGCAGCAGTTGAGTCAGGAGAGGTCTGCGGCGCCTTTTGGGTCACCTCCTTGGCCAGCCGGGGATGGAACTGGTGCTGCAGAGTCTGCGGATACCTTCATTGTGCTGTGCTTAACTCCTGCACCACTAGGGAGGCCCCTCCAATTGGGCTTTCTTAAAAACAGCTGAGTTCTGTGTTTAAAAACGTTCAGGCTAAAGACCGTTTTCCCACCCATATCTCATGTCCTAAAGTTGCTTCTATTAAGTCTCTAAATTTTTTCCCATTGGCTAGTATTGCTTATTGTGTGTGAACTTTATTCTCTTCTTAGACTTCTTTCATATCGTCTCCCTGACTCCCTATTCTTGTTCAGGCTGTAGAAGGGGACTGTAGGGTAAAGAAAATATCAGGCTTTTCTGCCCTTCCGCCATCAGGATAGATGATGGATCTTTGTCCTGAATGCATGCCTGATGGTGGGCACCTGGAATAGGGTGTGGGCATAGGTAGATGGGATTCAGCTGAGCTAAGACTGTGCTTTTTAAGGGCGGCGTCATGGGGACGCCAGCAGCAGCAGTAGAAGCTGAAGCAGAAGCCGAAGCAGAAGCCGAAGCAGAAGCCGAAAGAGAAGCCGAGAAGCAGCAGAACGAACGCCAGAGAGCCCAGATAGAGTAAAGACTTGCTGGGGGCTGGGAGGCCTGCCAGCCTCCCAGCCCCCCAGCCAGCACCCCTGTCTGCCATATGCCTGGTGAACCCCAATAAAAGACCTGCAAAAACCCACTAAGGACTCTGACTCCTCCTTTACCCGGTCTGCATGGGATCAGAGAACCTGCACTGTGGCCATTCCTGCCCTTACAGGGACCAAAAAAATGCTTGTGTAAGTCACTGCACTTGGGTTGTTTAGAAAATTTGTCCTATGCTTTGCCAATTTTGGATCCAGCCAATTAAATAAAACTCAGTAAGAATGAAAAGACTCCTTCATTCTCATAGCAAGATTACAATGATTAATAAATTAGAAAAACAGTATCTACGTAGTAAATCTTACCGAAGAAATTCTTGTATTATTGCAGTTTTAAAATAATTTTAAATAGTCATAAATGAATGCACATATATCTTGCTTTGACATAACTTACATGCTTGAATTAATCCTTTTTTTTTTTTTTTTTACATTTTAAAAGGACAGGTTTATTTAGGAAAAGGAGAAAGAAAAAGAGACACCTGCGTAGACACAGATGGGCCATCTTGGAAGAAGAACCACTAATTAATTGTATTTTAAATTCATCATAAGACTTACCTTTGAAAGATACAAGAGCAGGGGTGTCTGAGTCTTCAGGGCTGCTATGACAACAGGCATTGATTTCTCACAGTTCTGGGGTTCAGGAAGCCTGGGATCAGGGTGCCAGCATAGTCATGTTCTGGTGAGAGCACTGCTTCTCCACATTTCAGAGAGCCATCTTCTTAGTGCACATTTGCATGGTAGGTGCAGGAGACACAAGGGAGAAAAGAGGCGGGGAAGGGAGAAGAGAGGGCAGGGGGAGAGAAAATGAATCGTGACTTCATTGAAACTCAATTATCTTCTACAGGCCTTGTCTCCAAATACCATCACATTGTGGATTAGGGCTTCAACATGTGAATTTTTGGAGGGAAGGGACACAACCTTTTGGATCTCAGTAAGAAGTATCATCTTTTCTGTGTCTCAGTGCCAAGCACAATGTATACCCCACGCTAACATTCAATTAGTTGGATTGAAACCTGTGAATATCGCCCCATGACAGTTTTTTTAGTTTCCTTTTTGATATATCAGTTTTCTTAAAGTGAAAGGCATCTTTACAAGCTCTCTAAATTTTTTACTCTTTATTCAATGAGTAAAACATCAAACTATGAAACTAATAATCTTAATCTTTTACTTCATATCTAAACATTTGTATTTTTTCTCATTTGATCATTTATTTCAGTTCAATATAACATATGAAACTGTGCCCTATTGCTACAAGTCTAGTATCCTTACTCTGATCTTTAGCAGAGAGTCTAGTATTTCCCTCTTGAGCCATATTCTTATGTTGCCCAAGAACCCCAGGGATTTACTCTATTTAAAGGAAATCAGTTTCTTTCCAAGGCTGAGCTGAAATAGAATTGGAGTCTATTCAGTACAGTATTGCTATTGCTTCTAACTGCCATAGGTATTGGTCTTGAAGCTTTATCCTACTCATCCCAGTGATACTTGTCCACTCTGAAATGATATTCTTACTTATTTGGTCTAGGTCACATTTAGACTTTTAATGTGGCATCTGCCCATGTTCAGTCATTGTCCCCAAAGGATGATGCAACTGACTATTTGCTGAAGCCTGGACTACATAAGCCAACAATTACCAGCTGTTTTCTTTATTCACTGATTCTGGGCATGGACTGATCAAGCTTAGCCTGGGTAGAGGGAATTTACACAGGAAAAGAGAAGCCAGAGAAACATTTAACAGTCATGTAAGTTGTGTAATGGCTTGGAAATGTTGAGGGACCCACAAACATAAAACAAACTTTCCCACAGGACATATTCTGAATTCTAGTGTGATGCAGGAAGCTGAAGGACCAGGTTTAATAGGCAGAGTAAAATCTCCCCACATTCTACCAGTTCATATACAAAGAATTGCACCTAAATGGAGGAGCCTGCCTTAAAGATAAGTTGGTCTTCCCCCCTTGTAATACTTATGAAGTTGTGTAAGGAGGCTAAACATCTAAACTTAAAATTTTTCAAGACAGAACTTAACCTTCAGTGTTGAGGAGATAGAAACCCTTCAGACTCTCAAAAGCCCAGAGGAGGACCTCCCTGGTGGCACAGTGGGTTGAGTGCAGCACTGGGAAGCTGTCCGTTGCCTCTGTGGCATGGGTTTGATTCCCGGCCAGCCTGGGAGCTACCCACATGGAACGGCAGACCTCTCCTGTCTCGCCCACTGCTCCCCTCAGCAGTATATTTCAGTACATCTGCCTGTTCTGCTCCCTGCTCTGTCTGGTGAATTCTCTCACCCTCCTATGCCTCTGGCCTGTACCCCAGCTCTTGTATAAATAAATAGAAAATCTTAAAAAAAAAAAAAGCCCAGAGGAATCACCCATGAATAGAATCTAATTAAAACTGCAGCTCAATCCATGAATTGACTGAACTAATCATGCCCTTACCTTGTCTACTTTCATAGCTAGAGGAAAATTACATCATCTGTATTGTCAATAGCCTTTTTATACAAGTCTTGCATATGATAAAAATTGTGAGTTATCACAAGAGCACAAAAATTTGACCAATAGTCAGAAGAAAAAAATAGATAATAGAAGATCCAAGATAAGCCAGATGTTAGAGTCCAGATAAGGACTTTAGAATAACTACTGTAAAATAGAAAATTGATTATAAAATGAAAGAAAAAGTATACATAATATATTTAAAAAAGTGCAGAATTTTAAGAGACAATTGGATCCATGGAAAGAATCAATGGAAAAATCTCAAATTGACAAACATAGTATTTGTAATCAAGAACTAAATGGGTTGGGCCTCCCCGGTGGCGCAGCGGTTGAGCGCTGGGTTGCGAAGCTGCCCGCGGCCTCTGCGGCGCCGGTTCGATCCCCGGCTGCTCCCCGGCC